GTTATGTTAAACTTATATTAAAGTTTTTCTTCATTACCCATTCAAGCCGTCTCCAGCCATTATTAGTCTCAAAGTGGGTTCCTTGTCATCGAACTTGTTTGTTTGTTTGTAATTAAGCACAACGCTACATAATGGGCTATCTGCGCTCTGCCCACCATGGGTATCGAAACCCGGATTCTCGCGTTGTAAATACATAGACATGCCGCCGTGCCACTGGGGGGCGTTTGAGAACTGATGCTGGTTGCTCACTTCCTCAACACCATTGACGTGCATTTGTTAATTCTAATCTGATATGGTTGAGCTACAGGAAGTAAAATCCAGTTTCCTCTAAACACCGTTCGTATATTTATCAAAATACTCGCATTAAATACTGTTATGTAACCTCAAGATAAGAGCTAAACTAGCGATGGAGTTTCTACATGATACATGAAAATAATTATTTTTCATACTAAATTAATAATGTGAGAATCAATAAAAAGAAAATATAATCCAGTGGCGCTGTTTTATTCCTGTGTTCTGTACAATCGGAAAATGATAGGTCGTCATCAGGTTACGAAACTTTAAATTTACTGGTTGATTAAATTTTCAGGCAATTAAGAGCTTATAAACAAGAAGGTTTTGATTTTGGTACAATATTGTTTTCACTAGAAGTAAATATAGAAAATAAACCTACAAAAAACTCATATTATAGACGTCTAAACTTAATTCAGCATATCAACGTTTGAGCACAAAGCTTCGCGGTTCCAAGAACTTTATATGTAAAACTTTAATTTTACAGGACCCAAGATTCTCAACATTCTAAATACTTCCAAGCATTATGAAAGAAAAACAAACTCTAGTCGACCAGTTTTATCGGCATGTATCGAGTTTATTGGATGATATTATGAAACCTCTAGCCTCTAATTTACCATCCTTCATTGAAGACAATACTTTCAACATCACCAATGACATCCAGCTACTTTCATATATTTACTATGGACATCAACTTATTGGAAACAGCAATCCCGCATGATGAAGGGATGGAGATACTGAAGTGTTACTTTAACAAAAGAGACACTCATTAATCCTCCTACGACATTATTTTACTTAAACTCGTAGAACTTGTTTTAACGCTCAATTCTTTTGAATTTGCGGGTAAATATCACAAACAACAAAGAATCTTAGCAATAGAGATAATAATGGGATATTCTTACGTTAATAGGTTTGTTAGAAGATTACACGAAGCCATACAGGGTATGCCCTTGACACATTTTCACGTTACATTGACCAAATTATTCGAATGGCCCTCTGTACCACAATCAACTACCAGATTTCATAGAACTGGCATGACCTAGTGGTTTGGGCACTCGACTCATACACAATCTGCAAATTGCGAGTTCTAGCCCCGTTACCGAAAATACTCGTCATTTCCACCGTGGGGGTCGTTATTCGACTAGAGTAGTCCAAGAGTTGGCGATAGGTGGTGTTGACTAGCAATGCGCGAATTTCAACAAATAAAGAAAAACAACCTTTCATTCGCAAGAAACCAACAGCCAGCGACGCCTCCCTTGATTTCATCTCAGTTCTTCCCACAGCATGTCATAAACAACCCAAAGATAACGCTTCTTTTTATTATCAGTTTAAACACGTTAGGGACACAAAAAAACACATACAATAACAACTGCCTTCCAAAACCTGAATGTTGATGTCGGTTTGTTTGTTTTTAATTATGCACAAAGCTACACAAGGGCTATCTGTGCTCTGCCCACCACTAGGTGGTTCTTTACTGTTATTTTGCCCCCCCCCCCAGTGGCACAGCGGTATGTCTGCTGACTTACAACGCTAGAAACCCCATCTGTTATATACAATGGCAGAAAATGCAAAACTTATTAAGCTCGAGACAGATCTCGTCGCACATGTATCGCTTGTACCTAATTTTACAAAGTGAGCTGAATCATTTAGAATAGTGTTCATATCACTGGGGTATTTACAACGACCCATAAAAACAAAAGAATTTCCTTTATCTGCTTTTAATAAAACAATATCTTGGTATTTTTTAAAGGTTGTAAGGCGTTTAATTCTTCCAGTTTTAAACTGGATACTAAGAACGTAAACTAAAATCCTTTTGCTACAGACGAATAAATATTACAAATTCTTCAGATTCTCGTACACCACAAATATATGGGCTACAAACAAATCCAGAAACCAAATACTTCTTCACGTCCTATAGCTTCTGCTTATCAAGCTTAGAACTATATTTCTGGAAATTCCTAATTTGGGAATTTGCCCCTTATATCACTGAAGCTTATTTTGTCAAAAACTCCGAACCTTTCGCGACAAAAACCCCACTCGGTTTCCAATATGATTATGGCCTAGTGTTTTGGGTGCAATCAGTGGGTTGCGGGTTCGCATCCCCATCCAATGATGCCGTGAGGGCATTATAATGTGATGTAGTGTCCTTTTTAAATAAAATAAAACACAGGTTCTAAAAATACAATTTTGCATATTTATTCGTAAATGTTGTTGTTGTTGTCTTTTAACTGCAAAGCTTCTTAATGGGCTATATGCCCTCTGCCCGCTGTATGGAATCGAACCCTGAATTTGAGCATTATACGTCCGTGGGGGTCTATCTTTAAATAAAACTTTAATTTTCGTATTACAAGTTCTTCCTTTAATTTAATTTCTTTAAATATATACAACGATGCATTTACCTTTATATTTTCTATTTGATCTTTACGACTATACCTAAAATCAACCCGTATTTGCTTTTACAGCTAAATAATCTGTTTTCATATTCAAGATTTGTCAACATTTTTTGATTTTTCATTTTAAAATTACTTTCACGGAGAATTTATGATGACAATTGTTATTGTGCGAACGCCTCTCACGAGCTGGTGAAACATGATTATAATTATTTATACTTGTCATGAGACATTATGTTATGCCCATTTTATTTTTGAACACCGCATTCTTAATACAGTTCCATAGGGATTTTCAAGAATCAGAGGCGTAGTCAGCAATGGATATGATGAATATAAAGTGGTTGAAATACTATTAATTTACACTATTCTGTTTCTTGAAAATCCCTGAGGGACTTGATTAATAATGTCGTGTTCAATAATATAATAGGCATAACATAATAACTTATGACAACCATAATTAATTATAAATATACAATGCCTATTTTTTTTTCATTTGTTGCTTTATTAAATCCTAACATTGTTGAGCTTATGAATGCTGTTATTTATTAATCCAAAACATTGTTAAGCATATGAATGCTGTTATTAATTAGTCCCAAACATTGTTGAGCTTATGAATGCTGTTATTTATTAATCCAAAACATTGTTAAGCATATGAATGCTGTTATTAATTAGTCCCAAACATTGTTAAGCTTTTCAATGATGTTATTGTTACATTAAGTACGTTCTACACGCTCTTGATATTTTGCATTGATCTTTTATTCGAATAAGTAGTACAAGACCTTACACTCACAGTCTAGCCTGATGTAAGACGCAGTTCCGAAACTGTTGCTGTATGATAAATTAAAATTAAACTTTTATCATTTTAGTTTCTAAAGTTATTGATTTACCAAAAACGTTGGATTTTATAAGTTAACAAAGAGTAAATAAGTTATTAAACTGTCAAGTTACCGCAAAACGTTTGTTGATTAGCATAACTCCCACTTACAATTAATTATGTTTCAGGCTTTTCGTGAGATTTCGGAAATCGCTAAATATCTGTCTGAAGTGGATTATCTTACAGCATTGTGTGTACCCTCAACGTGTACTACTGAAGACATCGAAAAACTTGCAAAAAAAGGTTTGAATCTATTTTCTACGATCAGTATTTATCGAGAGTTTGATGCTTTCAGCTGTTAATATCACGAAGATGAAGAGTTTTTAACTAAACTTAGGTTATGCTATAAACAGTTGTTTATTTCCATTTTGAAACTGAACAACTTCGAGAAGTCCTGTTTAAGAAACAGGTTTTTACCTTCAAATATGTTCGTGACTTGACTTATCGCAATTCCAAAAATACTAAAAAAGATCAGTAACATACATAACACATTTTAATAAAATAACTAAACATGATTGTTGCCAGATATATTTATATTTTTAATGTATAGTTGTTTATATGATGAAATTATTACAGAAATTTGGCAAGTTACGATGCTTTTACACAGGAAAATTACAAAACTAAATTTTTTCATTATCTGCACTTCCTATTAGGGAGGAGGGAAGAATTCCTACTCAGATCGGATTAACACATATACTAAATTACGCCATAACATAGGGCCCACGTGAGGTTAACCTTCTTTTCCTTACCTCCATATAACATTTCCGCTTCCTGTTAGTAACTTTACGAATTATTTAAATCTTTATTATTTGGTCTCCTTAGTTTAAATATAATAATTGTTTAAGTTTTTTACCCAAGTTTATTATTATCTGCTCCTGATCCCCTAATTTCTCTACTTTTCACTTGCGAAAACTATATGTATAGTGTTTATGATATGTACATAATATCTATAGTGTGAAGAATTTGTTGTACATACGTTTAACTTGTTCCGAATATATATATATTATTTTGAAAAAAAGTAAAGTGCATGCTGTATGTTCATTGTTGAACTTATCGTTAACAAGTCACAAACACCTACTGTTGAAAAATCCTAAGCCCAACAACAACACAGTATAAACTTCTACTAAAAAGTATAAGTAAAAGCCTTAAATTGACAATTGGCGCACATAACATAACGTAACATCTTACAATGACGTAGAGCCCTAATACATTCTTTGACTGGCTGTGCCCTCTGCTGTGGATTGCAGATTCGCCTACTCAAGGCTCATCAGTACAGCTTGGGTAGCCTTAAATCTACCATTTTATACACCTCAACTAAACATTACAGTTAGAATAGATGATTCTGTCAAGACAGATGTCTCTTGATTAGGTACTGGAGTGCGGTGACCATTAGATGATAATATACTGGACATTATGACCTAGCAACAAATAATAAAACTCAAATAGAAAATATACTATAGGTTCAAAATTCCACATTTGGTCGTTGAAATATAAGAGTTATTGAAAATGCAACATATGTGTTTTCAGATATAAAAAAAATGTTTTACCTAGGATACCTCAAAGTAAAATTCAATACATGGAATTGCTGCAAAATCAGGTTTTAGCGACCAGTAGTTATATAGAAAAGTAAGGTTTGGCTTATGATACTCTATAGAGAAATTCAATACATTAGGCCGTTGCAAAACCAGTTTTCAACTATCACTGGTATAGATAAGAATCAAAAAACGAATTGGCATAATATCTATCTATCGATTCACTAATTTTATGAATATTTACATTCTGTAAAATATGGAAACTACGTTGGCAACTCATTGACTTTAACTGTAACATGAAACCACAGAGTAGATGAAACAATGATGTATGTGTCATTAAAATCGTGGCTTAAAGGGTATTTGTATAATTTACAGCCCTTCAAGATGTGGTTCGAGTCTCAGTTCCTCACTGTGAAGATAAATCAGAAAATGAGTTGACTAAAGAACAAATCAGTGTTTTGTAAGTGACCTTATTTTCTTGTTGATAGTAGTTTCTGTTTGGTGTAAAATATGTTTTATTGGGTGATTGTTACTCTTCATTATGAGTTATATGGACTCGTAGAAAAAAATCCTTGAATATTTTCATTGATCTCTGAAGTACCAAAAGTAAAAACTGATGAAATAGTGTCTTACAAAAAATTAAAACAAATAAATCGCACAAATAAGGGTGTATGGGAGTTATCGATTTACATATCATTTTCACTTTCTTCTAAGTTTGATCGGATAATTGGCACAGACGATTTGAAAATCACTAACGCGGATGATAACTGAAACGGAATGAATTATTTAAAATAAATATATTCGTATCAAAATGAAAGAAGTAACTTATGATTAAAAGAAAGCTAGAGAAATCGTGAACCAGACTAACGAGAAATGCATAACGTCATAAATCAATACTCAAAAGAACCCAAATCTGGAGTGATTAGAAAGTACTAAATCATGAGTTGAATACCCTCGCTTACAGTGACAACGTTTGATACATCAAACACTAAATGGGTAAAATATAGCAAATGTCAAGGTGGATTTAGTATTTAGAAACAGAAACCGCACTTCAACTCTAATACATTCGGGGATATAAAGTAAATAGAGGAAATGCACACTAAAACTTCTTTATTTCATAAAGTCCAAAGCATTTAAACAATTCGTTGTGCAGCATACACTGCCTGAAATGAAACAAACATGAAACCTTGACACATGGTCATTTCTGATTATAAAAAAAGCAAATTTGTGTGAATCAAAGTCTTTTTATGTGTATAGAAATCTGTTCATTTGTTTCAAAATCTTTTCATCTGTATCAAAGTCTTTTTGTGTATCGACATTTATTTATATCTATCAAAATTTTTTATGTGTATCAAATTATTTTTCTATATATCAAACATTTAAATGTGTATAAAAAATCTTTTAATGTGTATCAAAGTCTTTTTGTGTATCGACATTTATTTATATCTATCAAAATTTTTTATGTGTATCAAATTATTTTTCTATATATCAAACATTAAATGTGTATAAAAAATCGTTTCATGTGTATCAAAATGTTTTCGTATGTATGAAAATATGTTCATATTTTATGAACAACCGTCAAAGACCATAACTGCATAGTTAATTCTCGAGTGTAAAATACAAAAAATAAACAAACTAGTAAGACACTCAATAGTTATCACAACATCGTGATTGCTTAATCATAAAACGGTCAGCTTATTTACATAAAATTAATAATTGATGGGTATTCCTATATTGAGTAATTTCATGTTTGTTCCTGCTACAACATTCACTTTCAAGGACTAACTAAAAATAACTGGCCGAAGTTAGTTATTCGTACCGTACATAGGAAATCCCAGGAGCAACTAGTGGGATCAAATGCAACATGATTTTTGTTTACATTTCTTTGGTATGGCTCATATTTTATTAGGGATTCTGTTATCAACAAATGCATAATGACGTTATTTTTGTTTAAATTTTTTTGGTACAGCTCCTATGCTATTATTTTATAAGGGATCCTATTATCAACAAATGCAACATGGTGGTATTTTTGTTTACACTTGTTTGGTATGGTTCATATTTTATTATTTTATTAGGGATCCTATTATCAACAAATGCAACATCTAGGTATTTTTGTTTACACTTGTTTGGTATGGTTCATATTTTATTATTTTATTAGGGATCCTATTATCAACAAATGCAACATGGTGGTATTTTTGTTTACACTTATTTGGTATGGTTCATATTTTCCTATTTTATTAGGGATTCTGTTATCAACAAATGCAACATTTGTTTATATTTTCTTGGTATGACTCTATGCTATTATTTTACTAGGGATCATATTATCAACAAAGTTGTTGAACCATAAGGAGTTCGGCGCATAAATAGTTTAGAAACATTGGATGAGTATATGAACAACATAGATAATTCTCGGGTTAATTTCTTTATCAGGATTTTTATATCCCTTGGTAAATTTAACGTTATCACGAGATCATTTCATTATTAATAAAACACAAACTGTGGGCCAATCAGCAGAGTAGGCTACATCAAAGTACACAGAATATTGTTACTAAATGGTCATGACGTCTTAACAACAAAATAAAAATTTAAAGATAGCTATAACTGCTAGTAAATGGATTGGTTATTTGTCTTCCTTCGTTTCTAGAACCCAATAAGAAACGCAAAGTTTCTAGTCAGGGTTAGGAACAGGTTCAGCGGATAGGGTTAAGACAAAATAACTATTTTTTTTTTAACCGTACCCTTAAAAGTGTTGTGTTTAAATATAAAATATTTTATATCTTTCATTAAAAATTATTCAGCTACCTTAACGTTTGCTTTAAATAAAATCACAAACTTTTATTTATTTAGAGTTTTAATTATACTGTATAATAAATATCATTATTAACAGACAAACAAACATTTCTGCATTACATTCCTCTTCTTAGTACTAGAAATTTGTGTTCTGTAAACAAATCTTCCTTGAATATATTTGTTACTAATGGATTTATCAAGCCAAAGAGGAAGTGTTTGCAGATGAAAGATTTGAGACCTTGTCACTAGACACCTTCTCTCTTTCGTCTCTTTTTTTTTGAATTTCGCGCAAAGCTACACGAGGGCTATCTGCGCTAGCCGTCCCTAATTTAGCAGTGTAAGACTAGACGAAAGGCAGCACCACCCACCGCCAACTCTTGGGCTAATCTTTTACCAACGAATAGTGGGATTGACCGTCACATTATAACGCCCACACGGCTGAAAGGGCGAGCATGTTTGGTGTGACGGGGATTCGAACCCGCAGACTGCGAGTCGAGCGCCTTAACCACCTGGCCATGCCGGGCTATAATAAGACGGTACAGTTGCAGGCAAAGACAAATGGTAAATACTCAACCAAATACTTCGAGAAGCATCATATGTGTCATACGTCTGTAAAACAGCTATTATTAAAAATATTATTACTAGCATAAAGTATCTGTACTCTGTTGTATATGGGGGGGGGGCATCCCCAGGGTTCACAGACCCCCCCGATCAATCTTCTGTGTTATCCTCGATTATTATTATCATAGACCACAAAGGTGGATATGTACCCGAAAACAAAACCCGCTCGTGGTGAGAACATCTGCCAAGAATGGCGCTTTTCGGAGCCGTGGCGGGGGGTGGGGATACAATGCCATATTTGAATTCAGCGACTCGGTAAAGCTATCCTTAAAATCCCCCCCCCCCCTACATTATTTCTGGGTAGCTTTTAGAGCGCGTTTTATCCCACTCTGAAATAAATGTTGTCAGGCTTGAGTGGGATGAACAATCATTTTAATGGTCTAATACTGTGACGTCTCTTACACCATAAGTCCACGTCATCGCAATTCATTGTCATGAAATAGCTTTGTTATAGCGCATGCGCTATTCATTACGTAGTGGGAGTATGCATTTTTGCTGTGCCATTGGAACCTGAACGCACGGTAAAAGTGAATACTCTGTAAATTGTTTTTTTGTTTGTTTGTTTTTAATTATGCACAAAGCTACACAAGGGCTATCTGTGCTCTGCCCACCACGGGTATCGAAACCCGGATTCTAGCGTTGTAAGTCCGCAGACATACCGCTGTACCACTGGGGGGCTACTCTGTAAATCTAGAATGACTCCAGTAATGACAGGCTAACACTGAGTGTCGCGTGTTTGAGATTTACAGACCTAAAATAAATGAGTTTCTAACACGTTGTACTGTTCTGTGTCATGAACAATAACACTGCATGCGGCTATACTAGGCAACACCATCTGGAATCGATATTATGGCAAATCTAATACCACAGGGCCTATTTTATAACTATGTATTTACATATTAGAGATAACTGATGGCTAATTTAGCGACAGCAGATCACTATTTCGATATCAAGTGATACCTGGATTTGATTTCTTAACTGAATATGTATTAACTGTTTGTCTACGAGAATAAAGGTATTAACATCGTACTTTATTGGAGTTTCTATATCACATCCATTCTCACGTTACGCCAGTGAATCAAATTCTCGTGCTAACTGTTATCTCTGATACCACGTGGCTTTGATCTGAAATTTTGTTGGATGGCTCAAAGATCAATTACACTTATAATCAAAAGTTTCTAGTACGGTAACAATATTATTATGGTGACAAACAATTTATCGTTATAGCACTGAACAAACATCATCATGTAACAATACTTTAAAAATAAAGAACAAGTATCATCTATCTTGTGATCACGACACACTAAACTTAATCTAATAAGCAAAATTATGCCCACCGGCACAAGAATTACATGTTAAAAATATGTTTGAAGTTAAGCACAACGCTACACAATGGGCTATCTGTGTTCTGCCCACCACGGGTTTTCAAACCCGATTTCTAGCATTGGAAGCCGGCAGACATACCGCTGTGACACTGGGGGCATGTTAAACGTATGTCTATCAGTCCTAGAACTTTAAGCACATCCAATGGGAGACAGTGGAGCCTATTACGTGACTCAGCGGAAAATCTTAGGGCTCCCAGCGCTCAAAAACCAACGTTCGATACCCGTGATTAGTACAGCACAAATAGGTAATTTTGTAGATTTGTGTTTAACAACAAAAAAAGAAAATGTTCTGAAGAAGGTGCTGCAAGCATAGAATAATTCTTTTGATCTCAGGACTTTGTATTAAAAAAATAATATTAGTTTCCTAGTTTGGTTTATATCATTGTCAAAGTTGGTGTTATCATAATCAAAGCTCTCTCATTTATCGTGTACTTACTCTTAATTTGGTTTATATCATTGGCAAGGCTGATGCAATCGTAATCAAAGATCTCTCAATTACCTTGTATTTACTCTTGAAACAGATACAGAATCTTTGGCTTAGATAACCACACTAAAATAAGAAAAATGAAAGATCCTTCTACATCAAAATACTGAGCCCGCCATTAAACAGAGATACTGGCATAACAATCAGACCTTCGGAAGAAGGTGGAAAGATTTTCGAAATATCGTCAAATTTTCTTATCTAGGCAGTATTGACCGTTTTTTCTTCATTTATTTCAACGTGAATAGCATATCTCAGCCTCCCATGAAAGAATACCAAATAACACGCTTAAAGAATAAATCCTACTTATGCCAAAGAAGATAACTTTAATGCAAATAAAATTCAAGTTATTTTAATGACTAACATTAGCTCAAATAATTCAAGTTATTTTAATGACTAACATTAGCTCAACTAAAAAAAACACTTTTGTATTTCTCCGAAATTCAAAATTTAAACAGGACTGTTTATTTACGAACTTCTAAAGCAAACCAAGTAAGTCAAACTCATAATAGAATTTAGAGGTTTTTTCTAGAGAAGCCACAACTTAGAAGGCTGTCAATATTGTGGATCTTCTCTAGACTATTTATTTAATCCTCCACTATACTATAGGTCCCTTCTTGGAACGATCCTGTTACTTGTGGTCTTAGGAACAATACTTGACCTTTGGAAACATTACCACTCCGATAAAGGTTTGAAAAGCAAAGAGGGAACTGTATCTTGGCAAGGTGAGAACTGACCTGTGTAAGTAGGAAAAAACAACATCACAAATTGTTAGGAATACTATCCTTTTCTATTTCAAAACTCTGAAATTCTCTTTTTGAGTTTTAATAGGAAAAGGTAAAGTGTAGGAACTTATAACATATGATATCTTTTAGAATATAGTCTACTTAACTACAGTGGCGCCAACTGTGGAGAGGGGAGCAGCTTCCCTTACCCAAGACTTGATATTTTGTTTTTGAGAAATGTAAAACGCTTGGTTAATGCGCTATGTTTATGGAAAATCATTGATATTGATATATACAAAGTACAAATGCGAAATTTCCACGTTTTTTTTATTTTTGTTTTGGTTACTCATGATCCTCTGGCTTTTACATAGTTAGAACAGTTGATGCTTGAGCTCCAAAACTTTCTACGTCATTATCAGTTCATGTATTTTGTAAAAAAATTAGGGTTCAACTCCTCCCCTCCCCCCAAAAAAACAGCTTTGCTGAAATGGCGCCACTGCTTAGCTATGTATAATCTAGTCTTGAATAAAACAACACAATATGTATACTTAAACAGCATTTGACTTATTATGTAGTAAAAAATGTTTTTCTTTTCCGGCATACAGAGCGCTTAGAAACTTGCCTAACATTGCTTTTATTGCATTTATGTATTTTTTTTCCGATGAAATGAAAACAAAATATTGCAATTTTTTTATGAATGACGTCACTTCTTCCTTGGATACTGTATTGTTGTCAATGGTACTAATAACGAATACGTGGAAACATAAACCTATATAAACATCATCAACCAAAATTTCTGAGGTAATAATTCTTAACTTTGTTGAGTTCTACAATTTGTTTTTACTTTTTTTGTTCAAATGACGTGCATCACAAATAACGATAATTAAGAAACCAAAAATACTTGTCGTGTATAAATAGCAATTTTTAAAAGTTTTTGATTAACATCTAAGTACTATATGTAGCTGTTTAGTAGTGTTTAGAATAACCATGGTCACGTATTAAAACACAAGTTTCAACAACTGACTATTTCAACAGGACAGGTTTTCAACATTCTCATCTCGTTTTCCATTTTCACCAACGGAAAGGAGCTGCTTAACACAAAGATTAGATCAGGAAACCTCGGTGCTGTACATGGAATGCGGTTCTTGACTATTTTATGGGTCATCTTGGCACATACCTATATGTTTCCAAATTTTAGTATTTTCAGTAAGTCATTTTTTGTTTAGGATTTCAATTATATGAGTAAAATCACCTAAAGGCCATTAAAAAATCCATTGAGGCTGATATAGACTTGTACTTAAAGTAATTAATAAATATATATATGTCAACTTTAGTCCTTCTTGAGCATGTGCAGATCCTAAAGGGTAGTACGGGATCATCATACTTAGTAGAATAGGACTAACTGGAAAAATACAGAAACATCTAAAATAATGTAGCATTACACATATCTTTTAAGGTTAGTGTTTTGTCAGCTTTTTGGATTTTTTACTTCGAAGTAAAATAATAGAAGTAAATTCGCCATCTCTTCATAGCATCAGTGATGAATGAAAATACAAGTATCTTTACTTTATACTAACATAAAAGCAGTTCTGTTTAGTCGTTTCTTATAATAAGTTATTCTTAGAAGGTCTTTGCAGATAAAGATTAATTTACGTTACAGAAGAATGAATGTTAAATTTAATTTCGTTTGCCACTCACAGGTAGCTTCACCCCGCGGCCATCTTTGTTATCTTAGTGCTTATAAGTTCACCTGAAATGTAGAACGAATTGGGTAATTATTTATTAGATATCGAACAATCAAATATTCCTTAATTAATATTTTATTACAATGCCCAGTATTTTACCCAGGTGCACTCGTTAAGTTCTCATATTAAATTACAACCTTTTGATTTTAATTAATTTTATAAATCAATTTTACATCTGTTGTTCTAAATCTCATTAAGGAATCAATTTAACACTTTATAAATACGGTCTGTAACTGATAGGTAAAATTTCTTTCAAATTGTAATTTGAATGTATTTTCCATGAAAAGCCTATATTGGTAAACTATATACAAGATTAAAGAGAAATTACCGGAAGTTTTGATCATGTGCTGCAGGCTTAAAAAGCGAAGTATTGTAGCATAACACAAATATCATTGAATGACTCCAAACACCGAAGATGGCTGTAAAACCTCTTTGGGAAGAGTGGTCAAGAATTTCTCGGTATTTATCGACACTCTGATTTTAAATTTTAAGCACACAATATCGGTACCAGACTGCCTTTGCTGTTATTGTTCGCCACACTCCTCAATTGAAATAACAAAGCTGTAAGCATATAAAGCCACCTCTACCAAATGTTCGTCGTCGAATAAGGGTCAGTGGAGTAGGAATAGGGGGCATGGGGCTTGTCTCCCCATTAACTCAAAGAGCCAACATATATTTTGGTCTCTTACTCCTTGTTTTTTTTAATGTGTTTAAGAAAGAAATGTTGATTACGTAGTACCTCAAGAGTTATACAAAAACTATAATTTCTATGATGTGGGACAGGACATACCTCTCGCTGGCTGTCAGTCTACACAGGTATGCTGTAACAGCAGGCGTGTGTCAGTCAGTAACTGTTGGTATTAAACATCTTTCAACTTCACTTTAGGGTGAATAACCATTCTTTTTCGTTTCAGATCCAACGACGGGTCCATAGATTCCTGAATTGCGTAAAAATGAACTGGGAGTTGACTTATACTATTTTATAGTAATGGTTTTGTCTTGTCATAGTCAAACATGTTATACAGCAAAGCGATAAATATGACATTTGTGCTAGTGCTACAGTTCACCACGTTTCACTCCCACATAGGACGCGTCTTTTGGTCAACCCTGTATATCGTTACGTAAAATTACAGGAAAGAGTAGGAATGTTAAAGCTGCCTTGTCTGGGCCTGTTTATAATGAGGATCTGGTTGGAACAAATATAAATAAACTGATGAACTGATATGATATCTATTAACTACTTATAAAGTTTGGAAACTGGTTGAATTTGAAACCTAAAAAATAAAGTATTACAAGTTTAATATAGTGACAAATGTAGCACATTTCCACAAAGTTTTATCATCATCATCGTCTCAAAGCGGGTTCGTCTTCATCAGTCTTAATAAGGACTTATTTAGGTAATGGAGTTAAGGCACAGGATAATCATAATGACAACATGGGCATTTAGAACACTCTGTAGGACGAAACGTGTAAAGTGAACAAAATATTTCGTGCACATTTATAAAGAATTACAACAGCTGTTCAGTGGTAACACCATCATTTTCTATGACTGTGTCTATCCTGACAATGGTACTACTGAGGACCAGGTTTTCACCCACTTCTGTCATGGTCCCCTGACTTCACAATGTTAATGACTGCTTCCGAGTCTTTCTAGGTGTGTGGATCTATCGCTGTAACCTATTTAGTTTTTGTTAGTTTTCTGCTGGTTAGGCACAAAGCTACACAGTAGGCTACCTGAGCTGTGCCAAAAATGGGTATCGAAACCCGGTTTTTAGTGTTATAAGCCTTCAGGCTTGCTGCTGAGCCACTGTAGAACTAATCCTCAACAGAAAGGTACTATTGTGTCAAAGGTTCAGACAATTTCCAGGAAGGTGTTACGTGCTGCAGTGTCTAATACCATTGTCAAAATGTACGTCGTAATCGAACTCCCGTTGGTGCCATTTCCAAAAACCGGTATAATATATGTGCGCATGTGTGCTAAATATTTGTCTTATAAACTGTTACAAATGCCGATTTTGACTTTACAGCAACCCTGTATAGCGTACGAGTTTTATACCGAAGACCAATAAAATATTTTAAATGAATAATAATGGTTTTACTCTTGGTTAGTTTGATGAATATGGGTGAAATTATTTGCTATTAATGAATTGTTGCTTTTCACTTAGAACGGCTTGTAGATTTTCGAGATGCACCAAAGAGCGTCAGTTTCCTGGCTGTGTGGAACTCGTGGTTGCAAGTAGACACTTTCTTCTTTCTCACGTGAGTAATTTCGGTACTAAAGTGTATTTTCTAAGTATCTGCTTTGCTTCCTTTCATGTAAGGAATTATTGGAATACAAATAGAGATTTCTTTTTTTTTAAATTTTCAGTGAATAGTTTTTGCTGTGTATTTCTATTTTAAAAAAATCATGGCTAGGTGGTTAGGGCGCTCGACTCGCAATCTATGGGTCGCGGGATCGAATCCCCGTCACACCAAACATGTTCGCCCTTTCAGCCGTGGGGGCGTTATAATGTGACGGTGAATCCCACTATTCGTTGGTAAAAGAGTAGCCCAAGAGTTGGCGGTGGGTGATGATGACTAGCTGCCTTCCCTCTAGTCTTACACTGCTAAATTAGGGACGGATAGCGCAGATAGCCCTCGTGTAGCTTTGCGCGAAATTCATAACAAACAAACAAACTATTTAAAAAAACATTTTTTGCAAGGATATTTCTACTGTATGTCAAGCAATCGGAATAGAAACCTGAATATGTAAAATATTTCTTCGCGTATATAATATTATATTTGAGAGAGCAAGTTTCACGATGTTGCATTTTAAATTTGTCTTTTTTACTATTCTTATCTACCTTTACACGGCAAGATATTTTTAAGCCTCATTAAAATCGTGAAAAACTGAAAAATTTAATTCGTGATATCGTAAAATTGATTTACAGCTCTGTGTCTGTCGTATATTTTACATTCATCAGGAAAATTTCGGAAGATATGTAAATTAAAAGCGGGCCGGATTCGAACTCGTGATTTTGCCAAGCAAGAAGACGCTTCTTCAAATAAAAATTCCACCTTTGTTAGTTTTATTTAGCAAGAAAAACTCGATATCCGTTTATTACCACATTTGATATTGTGTAAATAATAATAATGAAATATTGAATTTAAAGACGAAATAAAAACATAACTTTGAGAAAGCTTTGTTACAAGTTTGGTTTAATAATGATTCTTAAGGAGGTCGCTGTTACTTTTTTAATACCTTGATTCAAGATAAGTATGAGAAGTTTAATACGATGCAACGATAATGGGAAGATGAGGTGAGTTTGGTAATTTCAACACATTTACGACAGTCCTAAAACTTATAGATAAACTAAAACGTTCACTTTTAAAGCTGACAATATAAACAGGGAGTTTAACTAGAGAAACTAAGACTATTTTTGGTACATCTTATACAATTTAAAATCATAAATAATATTCACCGTTAAACTGGTACACAATTAAAAACATTTTATTTAGGCCTATCTATGGCCTTCAAAAAGTTAGACGACTCTACATGTTTCGACGTTACAACTCCTCAGGATGACATTTTATTTAGGCCTGTCTATGGCCTTCAAAAAGTTGACTCTACAACTCTAAAAAGTTGACGTCATC